GTATACAATGATATAATATCATTGGATTCAAATTTAATTCCATCCATTACAGTAACCCACTTGTAACCTACTGTACAGCAGAGCGACATACACGACTTACCCGCTTTTTTTTATTTGATAACTAAGGCTTAGAAGTTGTAGAAGTTAAAATCGATAAAATATCCACAACAACACAAAATGTTACGTGTCATTTATTAGTAACATTATACTACTACATAATAGTGTATAATGTAGGTATATGGAATTTAAATATCGTATTATCAAAATGTTTATTATCGTGGAAATTTTGGTTTTTGTTAATTATTACAACTCACAAGTCAAAATTCTTGAGAGAAAGGAAATATTATTCACTTGATTATTTCTGTAATAATTTTTTAGTTAACGCCATTAAGTTGCTCCTGCTAATTGCTATTATTATTTATTTAGGTAATTTCTCGTTTTAGCCATCCTGCAGGTTCGATGTGTTAGCTTTAAATGATTATCATTTATTAGTTTGAGTAAAATTCAATACGAGCTCCACTGTATTGTCTGTATTCACTATTTCACTACAATACTTCATGAATTTTACGATTAATGACTTATCATATTAGAAATATTAAGTTAGTTAACGAAGTTAACGTTAACTGATTTTGATTCTGAAAAAATATTTGTAGATCGTTTACGAATTATTTTATGTTTTTAAATTTAATTATGATTTGAAAAATTCATATTTTCAAGTTATCAATAACATTATTAACATTTCATAGTAATATAAGATTTAACTTTTAAAAAGTTTTCCGTATAATTTAAAGACAATTATCTGTCGAGTTCAAATTATTTCCAGAATCAATATTGGACAACTGACTTAAGTTTTATYAAAACTTAAGTTGTTATAAGTTAAAATTGACTGCAGTATTGAGGCTCCTTAAAATAAAGACCTATTTGATAAGATGTTAAAATATATTTTAATAATATTAACAAAAATACGAATCTTAAACTTAATAAATTATTAATGTTTTTATTTTTAAAAATATTGGAATTGTAAAATGTACCTACTTGGCTACATGTAAAAACATATGAATAACATATTTTTCAATTGTTGAGATTTGTTGCACTACTTACTGGAGTATCTTGTGAATATACAAATTACTCATTTTCAATTGAGAATCCATCTTTTTTACTGTAAATATATTTTGTATACGTATTTTTTTGATGTAAATGTTATCGTATTAATATCAAATTTCGAACGAGTTGTTTTTGGGTTGATTGACATTGTGTGCTAAAGATAATAGGTCCATAATAATGTGTTAAGACAAGAAGATATGGAAAGTGGGAACTTAAATGATTTGAAAAAGTAATTAATATTAATCTATCAACATTTAACATTTATAATTTGTAACGTCATCCAAGTTTATGAGTACAATGTTATTTAATATTTTTGTAAAACCATTTTAAGGACTATTGTCTATTATACTATAAATATAAAAATAAACGTTCTAATAAATGAGTTTTGCTCGTTAAAATTTTGAATTGAGTATGATGGGTGTATCAAAATGTTCGATAAAATTATACTTACCTGATAAATAATTTAATAAGAAAGTGAGGTTCTCGTCGGAAAACCAGAAACCCGTATCGCCAAAGAACACTCCTTAAAGAATATATTAACCTCTACAATGTAAAAATATTGTCTAAAATAATATTTAAAAATTTTAAAAATCAGAAWTGTGAGCATGCTTGCAACAGATGAATCATTCTATATTATACACATTGTAGTACTTTTTTACTATTATTGCTCTCAATCCATGTGATATTATATTTTAAATTGAATGTAAGAATATATGTAATATTAGTGCAGTTGTCCTGCAGAGCTACATTGGTGGTGTTTCGATACTATTCCGGTATCCGGTGTTTGCAACTCGAAGAGCGGCGTGCTGCAGTTGTTCCTAGTTTTTCTTCCGCATAACTGCATAAGGCACGCGCCGCACAACAGCAACGCCCCCGAAACAGTTACGACAACGATGGTAAGGCCATCGGTCCAAGACAGTCGACTGTTATCGACAGAACCGGTGGGCCTTTTGTGGACGACACGCCTTAAAGATACACCGAAAGTGACGTCGACGGCGCGTAGAGTGTCCAAATCGGCCTCGGCTTTCGGCACGCACACGATCCTGTACCGGTCAACGGACGTCACGTCGCACGCAGTGTGAGTGGCCAAGTCGTCATTCATGAGTAACCAGACGACCGTGTCATTGAYACGGTACTGTGYGTAACCCCAGTCCAGGTTCCGGCCGATGACAGTGACCGCGTTGCCGTCCGTCGCAAAGACGTCCAACACGGGATCCGCGTACAAGCGGTACCTGGGCATTGCAACGTCGTGGCCGGACCGCAGTTTCACGATCGAGCCATCATCGTATGCCACGTGGAGTTCCAAATCCAACACTTCAATCGGAGTGGCCTTGGCGTCGTCGTCGTCGGCCGCGGTGGTGTTCATGTCCACGCGTCGTGTCGGGAGATCGTCCACGTTGAGTTTAGGGGACCGGCACACCATGCACGTATCGTTGTGTATCTGACAACGGGTCTGCTGGACGATGCCGTTTTGCAGGTGGACGATCATCGTGGTGTTGCGCGCGCAAGAGAAATRACGTCCCCGGACCGGGACTGCTGTGCCGCCCGAAACGATGCCCGCCAACGATTGCGACGCGTCAAGCACCGGGTTGCCGGTGTAAGCGAAAGACTGTCGGTCAGCGTTCTGCGCTTGTTTGGTTAACCCGCCGTCGAACACCACCCTGACGGCACCGTCGGTTGGAGCTTCCGCGGCGCCCGTCGAACACAAAATACGGTCCGGCGAGCGGACGACCGCAGTGCACGCCGTGTCGTTGCCAACCACTACGCGCACGGCGTTACCGGTGTCCAGATGTTCGCCCGTGATGGTCAGCGGAGTTCCACCCGACAGCCGGCCACAGGTCGGGCTCACGTTCGTCAGCCGGGGATCTAGGAGCTTGAACGCGAACGCGGACGCGATACTGAACCTCTGGCGCGGACCGTACTCGACCACGATCAAGCCTACTGCCAGCCTAGCGACGTCGCTGGCCGCCTGCTTCGGCGGTGGCGACACGGTGCACGCGATTGTCTCGTTTTCAACCGATCTCGGGTCGGCGCACTCGCGCCCGGCCACTGTCACTTTCACCGACTTCTTCTCGGCTAGTATCCTGTGGTTCTTTACGGCGATTCGTACCACCGTGCCGCCGGTCCACGGCGCCGTAACAGGTTCCACCGACTGGACGCTCGCGTTGGCGCACTTTAACGGCACCGCCATCGAGGTCGCGACGGGGTTGGTGAAATTCTGTGCGTACCGCCTGTCGTAGAACTGGTACAACCCCGAACACTGGTTGGCGCTTGAACACCGTTTGAAGTAGTTGATGTACCCGTCGGCAGTCCACGCGCACGTCACGCAATCGTAGTCTCTCTTGATGCCGCATTCGTGATCATAGTGCGGTACGTAATAGTCCGAATCGTTGTCCAGCCTCAGGGTCACCGAGTTGTTGTTGAACTTGACGTAATAGAAGTAAATCGTCTGCCTGTTGAACTGGAAATCGACTTGCGTCCGTTTAATGCCRTCGCACTTGATGTCGTTCTGATCGACTCGGCCCCTGAAGTTGACCGTTTGTAGCGAGCACGTGATCGTCACCCTGCGGAGATACGCCATGAAGTCTTTCTTGTCGTTGGACACGGTCAACGTGTAAGAATACAACGCGTCTTTCAGCCACGAAAATTTGGCCACCGTGAACTGCGGACAGTCGGCCATCACGTGCACCATCAAGTTGCCCTGCAGTTCTTCCGGTTGTATGCAGTTCTGGTGTTCCAACGACCAACTGCACAACGTTTCGTTTGCACATTTTGTGCACGATCTATATTCGGTACAATCGATTGTATTATTTTCCGATTCCGACGCAAAAGCATGACGTGATACGCACAGCAATAATACCTGTCAAAAATAAACATTATTATTGACGTTCGAAAAATTACGACGCATTTACATATAACAACGCTTTGCACAGTACCTACCTATATAAAAGCTCAGACTTGTACTTGCAAAGTATAAAAATGTGTCTAGCTTATGGTGTTGAAGACACAATGAAACACATAATTTTGTATACATAATGCAGATAGCTACTCTAGAATCAGAGTGTAATAAAAAATTCAACACCTACATGATTATGTTATTGCCGGGATATGGCGAAGACGCGATAAAACAAACTATAATAATTTTTATAATAGAAATTAACCGCGAGATATATTGTTTAGAGATGTTCGCTGTAGAACGTTCAATTATTGTAAAATCAATACGTAATTTACTATTTAATATTTATATTTTATAGATTTTAGTAATATAGTACATTATAATACTCACTCATAAATAGTTCAATAAATTAGTTGTACTAAAGAAATAAAATATGCACGCACTCTTATACAGACTAGTCAGACTATATGTCTATATAGCTAGCATGTAGTACTGAAAAAATGAACTACAATCACAAAATAGAGTCAAGATTTGAAAATAAAACCGACTTAATTTTATTTTGTATCCCATATACTACAGTGGTCGCCGCTTATTATGAATTTATGATCACAGTTAATGTTATCAATCGCCAATTGTATAAGTACGGGCCGAATGTACACTTATACGTGTAAATTATGCCGGTTATTTTAATCAATACGCCACGTAATTTTATCAGAAAATTGGTTGAAAATCAATGAAAATATACCTACTACATCAAATTTTACTGAAGAAGGTATTGTACATGTTTCATCACAAACAAAACCTGAAGAAATTGAGCTCAAACCACAAACAGATACCGAAAAACCACCAATTCTTTTGAAATGAGAGAGGCCCAACGAGTATCACGAAGAGGAGTGCAGCATTATTACAGGCGCGGATCCAGAAAAATTTAACAGGGGGTACTCAAAAAAAAAAAATTGTTACACCTTACTATTTATTTAAATATTACCATTTTCTATTTGATTTATTAGTGCTAACTTTTTTTTCATAGTAATTGTTATCGGTGATTTCCGCCGTTGACGCGTGTCGTTATACACACGAGTATACTTCTAAAACAATTAACAATAATAGTTACTATTGTCTTAGTGACGGCGATAACAAAAAGCACCGAAATTATTATTATTATTAATTTTATTTTGAAAAATAACAAATTATAAAATTTATAATATAAATTTATTTTGTTAGTGTCTAGATGACAGGGGGTGCATGAGCACCCATAGCCCCCTCTGAATCCGCACCTAGCTGTGCAGCAACACTTATTAAATTTTGAACTACAATATAAATATTAAATACGAACGATTTATAGTTTTATCAATGATCTTTTAAGAGGACACCACGCCCGTATGTGTTATCTGCATCGTACAAGTGCGTAGCATAGAAACTTTTACGCTCAGCAGATCACGTATATCTCCGTTAGTTTGAAATTTAGAGTGAATTGTCCTATTATAAAATTCAAGACAAGCTTATTATCTAGGGCATCTCATTGGCTTTTTATTATATTTTGATTTTAAAGCGAGTTTTGAACATTTTAAAATTGTAAGTTGTTTGTATATCTAAAAATACTCATAATTCGCTTTAAAATTAAAATATAATATAAAGCGCATGCGATGCCCAAGGTAATAATCTTGCCTTTAATTTTTATATTAGGTAAATTCCCTCTAAATTTTAATCTAACAGAAATAAACGTGATCTGCTGAGCGTAAAATTTGGTATACTATACGCACTTGTACGATGGAGACACCACACGAGGGTGTGGTGTCTTCTTAACGGTAAAAAAAAAAAACAGACATCAATAAAAAAATACTATTGCTCAAGTTAGTAGTAGTTAATATTTATTAACATTTTATTTATTTTTTTAACAGTTTTAAATTTTGTATACCTACATAATATGTACTTCAATTAGTAATTAATAATAATAAATTAAATAATTATATTTTTTAGTACTATAATGTGTATACTGCTTTATATTAAATTAAGCACTAGGTACATTATATTTTTTTTTCAACTTTCGTTTAGTGTTATTAATCGGATTATGTTATCAGTTATGTTTCGTACCAAAGTGATTACATTAAGCGGCGACCACTGTACTTCAAATTCAGAATACAATTCATCTGTGTATGTGCATTTATTTGATTAACAGCCTGACTTTTAAAATTATAACTAAACAAAATTATTTAAAATTCATTGTTCTGGTTAAAACTTAAAAGTAAAGTCAAAGTCAAACTTACCATAAATGTGGTAAAATTTGAAAAAATCATATTATTTATATCACACTAAATAATGAATATTATTTACTATTATGGACAAAAACAAAATATAAAACAAATATTTTAATAAGAAATATAGTCCACGTATGTTTAGCACAGACAGCACATTAAAGCTACAGCAGTATATTATATGTATAAAAATTATGTGGTCAAATAAATTGCACTATCAAGCAAATTTGTTATCAATTTCCGGTTTTCTGGTTTTACGTTTATTAAGACAAGTATTCATTTAATTATTGTTGACGTATGAATCTAGACAAAAAAGGATTTATTATTGCAATAGATTTAATATTATTTATTATTTTAGTGATCATTATTATATTTGCATACAGTATAATAAAATTCCCATTTTTCCTGATTTTTTTATTTTATTGTTTTTCCCGACACTATTGAAAATTACTGGAAGTTTTAAATTTTGACCTTCCGATGCACCGACTAGATTCACTTTCCCATAGGAAAAGCTACTAAAGGTGAAAATCAAAGCATTAATTCGACAACTTATCGTGTGATGCACACAAGTACAAAAAAACCAACTCACATCATTATAAAATTAATCAATTCATTCATCGCACTGTTCAGAATCTAAAAATATAATTTATAAATTTTGAACTATATATATAATAATATCTTGATCGGTCACTTCGCTTGCGTGTAAAATAAAAATAATAATAATAAAGGCGTCATACTATGTAATATTTAGTTAATCGGCTTTTTAATTTTTATAAAAAAAAAAATATATTTGTTCGCTTGCGTGGGAACGTTATTACTTATTAGTTATTAGACACACCTGTCAAAAATTCTTCAATGGCTATGTTACTTGAAAAKTTTGATAAGTCTATCGTGGTAATCGTGGTAGGTATAGATTGTTTATTTCAAACAAAGAAAAAAAATTGTCTTTTAACTAACACTTTTAGATGTAAGTCTACAATTTGATTGTGGTCTCTTTATGTATAACTCTCCTCTTCTGGTTCACCTAAAGAATCTAATGCTAAATCGCTAGCTTGGCTCGACCGCTGTAAATTTCGTTTTTAAGACTAATAAAGTAATTAACTAATAACTAATAACTAATATCATGACGTTTATTATACGTATATTGCAGTGTACATAATGTTTATATTTATATTTTATTTACAASTTATATTTTATCCTATTCACAATTAATTACTATTTTCATTATAATCATAATATAGGCATTAATGTATTATTATATTTTGTTACAGGTACATGATGGTAATTAATATTCGGGAGTAGATTTTACATGTGTTCACATTTCTATTTATACATGTATTTCTAGGCTTTTTTCCGCCAACTAATATCGATTATCATTAAAGTATTGTTGATATTTCTAACGTAATATATTATTTTTGGATTWTATTCGACTGCAGTCGAAGCAYGTCCGTGATAACTTATCGGAGTTACTAAAATACGACCCGCAGTACGGAGTCTCCCGTTATATTAATTGTTAATTATTTTAGACCTGGGTTACCCAGTGGTAAGAGAGTAACGAACATCACGATGCCACGATATAACGACAAATAATATGGGGAGGAAAGTAATATTACTATAATAATTAGCACCGA